GCAACAGGTCCACCTGAATCCTTAAACGACTTGTTTGTCCCCGTCTCCTCCACATGTTATACTGACATCAAATATAGTGAAAGCGGGGGTTACACTGTGGGGGAGGGACATACAAAGCAACAAAGAAATAATATTATAAATGGTGTTTGTTTGTACTTTGTTTTTTGTTTTTACTGGAGATAAGAGTTTCACAGACTTTCCTTCTACGCTGGCTTTGAACCGTGATCCTGGGATCTAAGTAGCCTCCTAAGTAGACCGTCAGGCTCCTAAGTAGCTAGCATTACAGGCCTGAGCCACCAGTGCCCTGTAAGAACACATTTTTGAATAAATTGAATTACATAAGAAATTACTGCACTCTTTATTTTCTTTATATTTTTTAATTAAAAATGATCCCGTAGTCCTGAAGCAATGGTAAAATGAACATATGACAATCTAAAAGACAGCTAAAAGTTCATAGCTCATAAATTTACAATTCATGACCTAGAAAACATATTAAAACTATCATTCAGTTTCAGCATTTGCCTCTTACTTACAAAACTCAGAATACATATTCTGGTCAATCATTTCCAACCTTTTGACATTCATACAACTTAAGTTACAGTCAAACAGTCAAGAAGTATTTATTGCTTTGTTTAACTGGTAAACTACAGAGCCAGAGATCTGGGGGGTCATGGTTTGAAGTCAGCCCAGGCAAGAAAATCCATGAGACTCTCATCTTGAATTAACTATCAAAGAGCTGACAGTAGCACCATGGCTCAAATGGTAGGATGCTAGCCTTGAACAAAAAAGCTCAGGGCCAGCATTCAGGCCCTGAGTTCAAGCCTCAGGACCAGCACCAAAAAAGAAAAAAAGAAAAGCACTTAGAACAGTAATATATAAACTCATTTTTCTGCAAAACTATTCAAAAAAATTTAAGGTTTACTACAGAGAGCATGCAAATGAAAAATGATAATAATTCTACCTACATAATAAAGAACCACATGAAAATTAATAAAGTATGCAGTTACATATCAATTAAGTAGATTTAAAATTCTACTACTCTTGACAAACTTTGACACACATGTTCCTTGTTCCTCAAACACAGACAACACCATCTACACTTTAGTCACTTCTCCTTGCAGGCATACACCTCTACCTTTGATTCAGTTTGAAGCCAGGAAAAGACAGCAGGTCAAACTGTGTGTAAATGTTCATCCACATGACAAATCCTGCCATCTCACCAAATACACAGAAAAGGCACAGGATGTAAAGTAATACATTGATCTGGAAGCTGTCATCATTACTGTACATCTACAGGAATTTAAACGTTTTGTTTCAGTCACACTTTAAAAGTGAAAAAACAAACAAATCCTCAAAGAAACAACTGCCCAATAAATAAGTGGGCTAAAGAAAGAGGAAAGAAGGATGGCAAATAGACACATGAAGAAATGCTCAACCTCTCTAGCCATAAAAGAAATGCAAATCAAAACAACATTGAGATACTACCTCACCCCAGTTAGAATGGCTATAATCAAGAATTCTAATAACAACAGATGCTGGAGGGGATGTGGACAGAAGGAATCTGACCACATTGTTGGTGGGAGTATAAACTTGTTCAACCACTTTGGAAAGTAGTATGGAAGTTCCTCAAAAGACTCCACATACAGCTCCCCTATGACCCAGCAATCCCACTTCTAGGCATTTACCCAAATGATCACAAAGAATACCATACTAAAGCTACCAGCACAACTATGTTTATGGCAACATTATTTATCATAGCTAAGATATGGAACCAACCCAGACGCCCCTAGGTAGATGAATGGATCAAGAAAATGTGGTATACATACACAATGGAATGCTATGCCTCCATCAGAAAGAATGACATTTCCCCATTTGTTAGGAAATGGAAAGACTTGGAAAAAAAATTATATTAAGTGGAGTAAGCCAGGCCCAAAGAAACATAGGTCCCATGGTTTCTCTTTTTTGCAATAACTAGTATAGATCTGAGACAAGCAGAAACGGTCAGATAAGTTGATTTTAGGCGAAATGAACTCCAAGATAGTACTCAAATGGTTTTTTCTTCCTATTGTTTTTAACATATTTATAAGATATTTCTTTGTTGCTTTGTATGTTGGTATAATTTGTGGAGGGGATAGGAAAAAACCAATTGTTTAAATAGGGATACAGGTGGACCTATTGCAGCAAGGAGATATACAAGACGTTATGTAGATAAACGAACTTTACAACTTTGGCTGGGGGAAGAGTGGGGGGGGGATGGGAAGGGATGGGAAGGGATGGGAAGGGGAAACAAAGGAGGAGGCAACAATGCTTGATAAGAAATGTAGCTTGATCAAAGGAGGAGGCTGCAATGCTTGGTAAGAAATGTACGCATTATCCTGCCCATGTAACTGTAACTCCTCTGTACAGTATGTTCACAAATAAAATTAAATTAAATTTAAAAAAAAAAAAAAGAAATGTAGCTTGATAAGAAATGTATTAATTATCATGCCCATGTAATTGTAACCCCTCTGTACAGTATTGTCACAATAAAAAAATAAAGTAAAATAAAATAAAATAAAAAGGGAAAAAACATCTAAGTCAGATGGTGTACAGTTACTTCAGAGGTTGACACAGGTGGATCATAAATTCAAAGCTGGCCTAAAATACAAGGTGGGCAGGAAAATAAGGACTCAGAAAATCCATGTGATCCTCCTAAACATTGAATTAAGAAAAGGAACAAGTCTCAACTGAGGGATTAGGAGGGAATGTTATTTTAGTGTTTTCAAGTCTGGATTCTGTACTTGGATTACATTTGTATCCGTCTGAATCCCTATAAATACCTGTGCCCAGGCCACAAGAGTTATAAATCTTTTGGTCAGAAATAACTACAAAGACCCAACTCTCCGCTAAAAGAAACTCAGAATGCAAAGAATGTCTGAAACAACTCAAAGTGTCAATCCAAGGAGTATCAGTGTCTAACTCACAAATTCATTTTCACACTTCAGAGCATTTCAGAAGTATCCGTTGCCATGATTAAAGAGGAAATTAAAGCACAGAAACTTTCTACTAGACAATGTGTTGGAAATATGAATCAACATGTACTACTGATTTTCACAAGGAAAGAAATCAAAAAAATATGGGAAAGGAAATCAGAGAAAAACATAAATTTTAAATATCCACAGCAAGAGTCTGAAATGTTGCTTCCTACATAGTCTTAGCCTATGAATTAGTCCATTACTCCTACATCTTCAAACATGAAAGCTAGAACTAAAAGTTTTCTTTTGCAGAGCCCTCAGAAAAAAAACATAGAACAAAGTGATTACTTCAACTCCTAAGATTGCTTTTTTCCTTGTTAACTACTACTTCATGGCTTTAAGATTCTCAGCCTCATTTTTCTCATATTTTTCACTTTCCCTTCACTAACTCCAATAACTACACACTATTCCAAATGTTTGTAAACAGATTTCTGTTCATCAGTCAAACAACTATGTCACAAGCACAAAACTACCCTCATTTTAATTTATCTAAGCTAAGTAGGTCTTTGAAGGTTGCCAGTAGTTAATAGATTTGGTTTCTGTTGGGTACAGCCTTCAGTCTGGCCAGATTAGAAATAACATGGATAAAAACAAGTTTAAAATCTAAATTGAGTAAGGGGAAATAAAGGAGGAGGCAACAATGCTTAATAAGAAATGTACTCATTATCTTGCCCATGTAATAGTAACCCCTCTGTATGGTATTTTCACAATTTAAAAAAATCTAAATTGAAATTGCAAGGCAATCAAACAAGTAGTAATGAAAAAATATTAGCAAAGAGATTCCATTATAAAACAAAATATAACAAACTCTACACCAGGCTACTGGACAGTAGGAGTCTTCATTAAACTTATAAGTATGTCAAAATCATCTGATGGTTTAATAAAGCAGAACTGGCAACAGTTCTTGGATAAAAGGGCTGTTTGTGATCTGGGAAAACTGTGTTACTAACTAGCACTTTCATGCATCACCTTAGCCTTGAACACCTCTGTCTTGACTCAGTGTTGTCTTATTTCACCTCCTCTTTTGCCTCATTCACTTCTACTTTGTGAAACTTGTACTCATCATCTTTGGATGCCAGCCTGCTTCTCTGTTGCTGATATAATGCAAGAAGTGATGAACACAGGATTTGTGCTGACCTCCTCCTACAGAATGATGTTTTTTTCTTCTTCATGGCTTGGTAAAATATTGGGAAGAGGTCATATTATCTTAAAGTTTTTGGTCTTCCATCTGGAAGATAAAGCGAACGATGTGTATTTGCTGCTAATTCTTTATCTGTAGCCTCTATCTCTGAATTAAAAGGCCAAGCGATCACATCTGACTGCTGACTAAATCTTTTTCAAAGGGATGAAAGCAAATGAGAAGAATCTTGGCCCTCCTGACAGTCATATTTCCCCTTTATCATCAGCATTGTTTGGAGCTAATAAACTAGTGATGTGTTCACTTCAATTACCCATCTAGTTCACCTAAACTCTCCAGTTATCCCACCTTCTCCCTACACTTTGAAGTTGAGTTCTTGTCATTCATGTTTAGAAGAACACAGAAGTTACTTTGCCTTGTCAATAATAATAACAACAATAATAATGTCTGTATCACTTTCTACAAGAACTTTCTAGATTCTGATCCAATTTATTATATCTGGTCCTTTTTTTCTCATTTTAGAAACTAATCATACTTAGCATATTAATGTGTTATTTCTGTTAAAGCTACACTGTACTGCATGCAAACAGGTAACTGTGGTTAGGGTTTTCAGCAACACATTTCTTTCCATTTGAGGCCTGTAAGGGGGTGGAAAATAACTACATATGTCATTAACAGCTTAATTCTAAGCCAGAACTGAACCGAATGTTGAAATAAGTTTTGTATAAGAGCAAACACTAGAATTTTACAAATTGATATTCCAGACAACTTTGACAGGCACAATAAACCTTATACTAAGTGTAAATAAGCACAGGAGAAAAGAAACTGCCAAAACTTCAGATTCTTACCAGAAATGGACTCCAGCATATGCAGGAGACACACATTATGGCCAGGAGTTGGATAACCATTTCAAAATGATGAGATCTTCCTTGTCTATGCTGCTGGCTTTTAAATTTGACTCTTAAAAGTGTAATTCCTGTGATAGCGTTGCACAAGAATGAAACACCAAGAGCCAAAAGGCCCAGAAAAGAAAAAAGTAGGAGATAAAATCTGTCTTCCCAGTCTTCAATGTGTTCAGTTTTGTAGAAACACCAAGTCCTTGATGCTTGAATTTTATAGTCTCGATGTCCAAGGATTGGCAGCAAAGCCACTAACACGGCAAACAAACACACCGCACTCAACATCATTTTCACATGTTTGGATGTAATTTTCGTGGAATGAAAAATTGGTTTTGTGACTCCAATGCATCGCTCAATGGCCATTACACTGCCTAGAAAAAGTGGGCACAAGCCAGAGAATACCATGCACATACCAAAAATACTGCAAAGGATATTTGATTGGTTGAATCGAATCCAGTCTTTATCCGATGAATATACGAAAACTGCTATTGCTCCATTGATGAGATGACCAAAGAAGTCTATGATTACCAAGCCACTAGCCAAAAGCAGAAATGACGCTTTGGACTTCTGTCTAAATCTCTGATAAGCCTTCATAAGAATGGCAATGGCAAGACTGTTGGACAAAATCCCCACTGTCATGAAGATGATTGAAAAAAATACTGAAAGCCGGTTTTCCATCTGGCAGGTTGTGTTTGAAAAGAGCCCAGCTGCAGGAGACACTGGCTGTTTGGAATTGTTCATGGACATTGTTGTGGAGATAGATGCTGGCCCCTCAGCTCATCTCTGTGTCACAACTAGACAGGCTCGAAGTCCAGGCGTCTGTGGCATAAAGAGAGAGGAATTATAAACATCAAATTACTGGTTATCTGACTTGAAGAATAAAGTGCCAACGCACCTTGTCATGGGCTGGGATTTGATTGGCCTATCATAAGCAAGGTTGCATCATCCTGAGAGCAGTACCCATCAGCCTTGGGTTCTTACTCCATTTGAAGGGGGGAGGGCAGAGGAATTGCCCACAAGACACTTCAGTTGGTTGACTTTCCTCTGCAAGAAAAAGAAAAAGAGAGAGAGAGAGAGAGAGAAAGAGAGAGAGAGCGCAAAGCCTCCCAAATGTCCTCCTGACACTTGAAAGACATCTGAAAACTTTTAAGGATTACAAAATTGTGAGCAAGGTTCCAAGATTTCATTTAAAACTTGTTAAAGAAGAACAATCTATCTAAATAACTAAATGATCTTTTTTTAAAAAAAAAATGTTTTTTCTCTTAAGGATGGGCTTTGTCCTCAAATTGCAGACTGTCCCCTAGGTGAACCACCTTTGTGTGATCAGACCTGAGTCTTCTCTAGACTTGAGAGCGGGGCAAACAGGCTGGGTGATGTTCAGTCAGTCTTTCTACAACCCAAATTGCAGGACGGCACACCACACCTTCACTGACCCAGGATGAGAGAGAATGGATCCGGTTTTCTGTTCTAGCTCCCACCTGGGTAGAAATCCTCCAAGCAGCACTGAGGTTTCTGTCCACCCTTTAAGCCCATCTGCCTAGGAGTTGTTAAACTAAAGCTTTTGGGTAACAGGATCCAAAAGCAGCAGTGTTAATTGTCCTTTCCCTAGGGGATTGAGGTCTGAGTCACTAACACTAGATACAAAGAACAACGGCCACCTCTCCAGAAACTAATTGGACTGATGTTGCCCACGCAGCTTTCCGGGAGGCTGGGAACCCCAGAGGCAGCCTTTCTTTCCTAGGACCAGCCGGCCCTATGGAGCCGCTTGGGCTGCCCTGGGGGCCGCTGCCTCCTCCACCTCTTACTCACACAGTTCGACTTTCGCCTGGTACAACCTCTAAACCCCCAGCCCTGCTTACAACATCTTCCTTGAGCCTAACTGGATGAAACTTTTGTGCAATTGCTCCAATGCCAGAGGGCTGTTTTGAAAGGCCCACACCCACCCCAGTAAGGGACTCGAGTGTCACCCACCAGGAAACACGCCTGAGGGAAAAGATTTCTCTCCCTTTGTCTCTTTTTTTTCTCTGAGACCTGTTTTGTTTTGTTTTCCCAGATCCTTATCCACCCGGCTCACAGTCGGCACGGGTCAGTCCTCTCTCACCGATTGCCACAGCACAGCGCAACTCTGGTCCAAAAGCTGTCGCCAAGCACAGCCTAAAATGCCCACTGCAGCCTTCGCCCGGCATCTCCGCACAAACCAGGGGCCAGAGGAAGAGAAACCTGAGTCAGGTTGAGTATCCAGAGGCTCACGGCGTGGAAACCCAGCTCCTGCAGAGATGGTTACCTTAATATCCCTGGCAGCCGGCTGGCTGTCAGCGGAGCAGCGGAGCGCGCCGCCTGGTGATCCATGGCGCGCCCAGTCCCGCGCAGGTTCGGCGAGCGCAGCGTGGCGCTCCGGCTGGGGTAGCGCTCGCGTCCCGGGCTGGTGCCCTCTGCGCGCTAGAGCCCTCGTGCGGAGACTGTGCTCCGCCTCCGCCGCTGCCCTCTCGCCGCCGCGCGAAGCAGCCGGAGAGGGACAAAGGGCTCTGTGATCGCCGCCCCTGCCTCTGCGCTCTCTTCTCCGCCCCCTTTTCCGCCCAGATGGAGACATGAGAGCGTCCCCAACAGCGACTAAGTTGCCCCTTTGGGTCGCCAGACCGGCCACTCACACGTTTTGCTCCAAACACATTTTGAAGAGAAAGAGGCCATGTCTGAGCATTTAAGACAGGAGTCCGGAGATGGGGGAGTGCCAGCAATCCTGTCTGTGGCTTCTGAAGAGAGAACAGTCCAGGGACTCGATGTTGGGCAGATGGAACTTATGCCAAGCACAGCCTGAAAGGGACAGAAGGACCAGGTAGAAAGAGACTAGGCATTTGAGGGAGAGCTCAGCTGTCCCGAGGGGTGAAAACAGGTACCCTAATCAGGTATCCTGGCTGAAAACCCTCAGGGTTTTAGGGCCCACTGTTGCACAAAGGTAATTGAAACGCTAGGGGTACACAACCCTTTAGCGATCATAAAGCTCAACGAGCGAGGACGTATCTGGTGATATGTACGACTGGCATTTGCATCAATTTTGTAGAGATCAACTTGTGATAAAATACTTCTGTATCAAGAATTATGACTTTAACTTATACTACAATTGTGTAGTTTCGAATCTATTTATACTGTGATTTGAGCCACTAGTATCTTTTTTTTTTTTTTGCTCCTAGCCTGGCGATACCTACCTATTAACTATACCTCATTTTTCAAACAAATATTTGTGTGAATCTATCACCGACTTTCAGTCATATTTTAGTAAAATGTTGCTAGGTGGGGAAAAAAAACAATGTCACATGGATATAAGCTGCATTACTCCATTTTAGAAGCTAAGGGCACCTCTAAATTCCTGGAAATGAGTAAGGACCATAAGATGGAGAAGTGAGATAAAGTAAAAATTAACCATTAACCATAGAAAAGAATGATTGCTCAGCTCACCTCTGTGGCAGAGATTGAGATACTTTAAATTGTTATGACTATAACTTGTAAACCTATTACTCGCGTGTGGTCAGAGAATTGAGTGTTTTGGTTAATTAAATTGTTTGGTGAGTACAGAAACATCACACCTGGATGACAAGTATCCAAAAGGCAACCATAAAATAAGCTACATGGAAAACATAACACTAAGCACTGCTCTGTCCTTTAACGAATTAATCGCATTTTATTTCATTTATTGATTTACTTATACCTGTTCCCCTGAAATAAATTTCTGCGCAGGTCCTGTTCATCTGTTCATCACTCACCTTCACCTAGGATAACCACTAACCACTCATCAAACATTTGGATGAAGAAATGGCTATACCACCATAGTTCTACAACTTAAACCTCTCAAGCTTTAGCCAGGCGCCAGTGGCTTATGCCTGTAACTCTAGCTACTCAGGAGGCTGAACTCTGAGGATCATGGTTCAAAGCCAGCCCAGACAGGAAAGTTTGTGAGACTCTTATCTCCAATAAACCACCAGGAAATCAGAAGTAGCGCTGTGGCTCAAGTGGTAGAGCACTTGGCTTGAGCTGAAGAGCACAGGGACAGTGCCCAGGCCCAGAGTTCAAGCCCTCTCCACGGACTAAAAACAACAACAACAAAAAACTCTCAAGCATTCACTGGAGCATCTCAATAACACCAACTGCTGTAGCTACTGGGTTAAGAAAGTAAAGAAATTCTCTCTCATAGCATCTGTTGTGTAATAAATTTCAAACAATATTAATTTCTTTTTCAAAGTACTACATGAATTGCACTGTTTTTGCAAACTTACTTTACACATATTGTCAGAATTCCTAATACACCTTCATGCCTTTTCCTCAAGAAAAAAAGAATACATTACTATTAGAGAGGAAGAGTAAACAACCATTTCCAAATTGTCTTGTATCTGGTCATTCATTGTTTCATGTTAGTCCTTAAAATTTGATGAGTCATTGTTTGTGCTCTACTGGATAAATGCCCAGAAGTGGAATTGCTGGGTCATAGGGTTGTTTTATATTTGTTTTTTGAGGCCCCTCCATACTGCTTTCCAGATGGTTGAACAAATTTACATTCCTGCCAACAGTGTAACAGTGTTTCCTTTTGGCCACATCCTGCCATCATCTGTAATTGTTAGTTTTCTTGATTATAGCCATTGATTACAGCCATTCTAACTGGGGTGAGGTGGAATTGCAGTGGTGTTTGATTTACATTTCCTTTATGGCCAGAGATAATAGATAATGAACATTTTTTTCATGTGTCTATTGGTTGTATTTACTTCTGAGAAAGCCCTCTTTAACTCATTAGTCAATTTATTAATTGGGTTGTTGTTTCTTCTCAGGTTTATTTCTTCAGGGCTCAATTCTTTGAGTTCCAAGTATATTTTGGATATTAGGCTTTTGTCTGACGGATGGCTGATACAAACCTCCTAACCTGTGATCTTTCATTTAACTTGATAGCTTTGCTGTGCAGAAACTTTTAGTTTGTTGTAGTCCTATTTATCAAATCTTTCTTTGATTGATTGTGTTTCTGTGTTTACTTAGACAGTTTTGACCTGTGCCCAGGAACCCTACTGTTTCCCCTACTCATTCCTATAAAAGTTTCATGGTTTCTGGCCTTACATTGAAATCTTTGATTCATTTTAAATTGATGTTGGTGCAAGGTGTTACGTAGATATCTAGTATCCATTTCTGCACATGGAATCCAATTTTGCCAGCACCATTTGTTTGAAGGAGCTATCTTTCTTTCAGCCTATATTTTTGGCTTCTTTATCAAATATTAGATAGCTAAATGTCTGTAGATTTGTTTCTTGGCCTTCTATTGTGTTGCATTAGTCCTTGGGTCTATTTTTATGCCAGAATCAAACTGTTTTCATTACTATGCTGATACACTAAAGCCACCACCACAACTATGTTCATTGCAGCATTATTTACCATAGTCAAGCTATGGAATCAGCCAGATGCCTCTCAACGGATGAATGGATCAAGAATGTGGTATATATACACAATGGAATTCTACTCAACCATCAGAAAGAATTACATTGAACTATTCCTAAGGAAATGGGAAAACTTGGGGAGGATTATGTTAAGGGAAAAAGGCCAGACCCAGAGAAACACGGGTTGCATGGTTTCCCTCATTAGTGGGATCTAGCATGTGCCTATAAATCTGGAATTAAGAAAACTGGGTAGCACCCAAGTGGTTATAAATGAATTAACTGAAATATAATTGGATCTATGAGAATGTAAATAGTACAATTCTTTAGAAAGACTAAGTCAAAGGCTATCAAAATTAGTACTAGGAAATGGGTATCTGCAAGAAGAATGGGGGATGGGTTCAAGAGGAGATGGGTAGAAGAATGAATGGGAGAAATGAGTAGAATGCAGATAAGAATGCATTATATATGCCACAGAACTAAGAAAAATAAGGGAAGGAGTAGGTGTAAGGGATGAAGATGTTAAAGGGATGGCACAGATCAAGATGCATTGTATACATAAATTGTTTTATTTAATGGCAAACAAAATTCAATACATAACCTGAAAATTGAGAAAAGTGAGGGAAAGGGGTAGGGTGAGAGGAATGGGTGAGAATTTTAAAAGGGATGACATTAATCAGAGGTACTGGATTCATAAACTACTCCGTTGAATTGCAACTCCTTTGTACAACTACCTAAAGAAAAGAAAAACATATTAAAAGAAAAGTTGATGAATCACCAAATAAAGGAAACTACTAGACCATAAAGTAGGGGGAAGAAGGTGAGAGGCTGATAAAATTCCTTCAGAGAAGTTCACATCAAACAAAACTATTCAGTTGTACATCCATTCAATAAATTCACTAAGAACTTAACCTTGTGCCAGTACTGTTCATCAGAGGCAAAGATACTATTTTGTGAATGGAGAATAGGGACCCCTGTTGGCTTCTAGGCTTAGAGGATGCACTTACTTTTCTGGCATGCAGGACCCTAATCTTGATGAGATTTTTAGGCACCTCTAATTCTCTTGTGTTAAAATGGAAGTAAAGCTGATGCCAGATGGCTACAGGGGAAGACTTACTAGGATTCAATACAGAACATTTCACTCAGAAATTGTGCACACTATGGTTGAAGTCAGAGAAGCAAGGACTCAGTAATATTGAGGCTAAAGTAAAACTGTATAAAAATCAAGGAGGATTTGGAAACTGATTTTTTCACATTCTCATTGTCATTAAGTACTTACATAAGGTGATTTCATTTTAATATGTCCATATATGCATGCCATGCACCTGGATCAGACTCATCTCTTTCACCCTCTCCCTTTGTCCAGAAAACTGACTTTTGTTGTTTCAATAACACTGTCTAGAAAAAGCTTTATTGAAATTTGTCAAGATTAATAGTGATAACATGTTTCAGTGTGGTAATGATAAGCATGACAACTTTTTTTATTTTATTATGCAAGTAACTCAATACACAAAAAGTAGCATATGTAACATATTTCTAAGTACTGAATTATGAAAATAATCGTTTTCTAGAGTTGCTGAAACAAAGTACCACAAATTGAGGGGCATAATCAAGTGAAATTTATTGTCTTATAAGTTGAAAGTCCAAATAAAAACGTCAACACAGTTGGTTCCATCTGAGAGTTGTGGGAGAGAATCTGTTCCATGACATTTGCCTGTCTGGTGATTTGCTGGTGAACATGGTAATATTTAGCTTGTAGGGGCATAACACCGGTCTTCATTTTCACATACCATTCTCTCTGCTACATCCTGACATAGTCATCTTTCCATAAACACCTCAGTCAT